TTTTTTTTTTTTTTTTTTTTTTTTTTTTTTTTTTTTTTTTTCCTCCCTTCTGTGAATTCAGCCCACCTCTCACTTGTTACTGCCCCTTGAAGTCCACATATGTGTGTGTGTGTGTGTGTGTGTGTTGATGGCATGGTGTGGTTAAAGAATGTATTTTTCTGTATGTTAAACTGTGTCTGGGGTTTGATGTGACTGAATGGTTTAACTTTATGCCAAATGACTGAACTATCACTCTGCTCTCTCACCTCTATGTTGGCTCTGTTTAAACCTCTTTTCCCTTCCTCCAGGTTTCACTTGATTTATTTTTCAAACATAACGGTGCATCAACGTCCCGGCTTTCTGTTAAACGTCTTATACGTTATACAGGATTGTAACTAGAGAGGATATGAAGAAAAAAAACAACAACAAATTCACAGTATGTACGTTGGTTGCTGCGGTCAGTTCCTGTCCTTTACCTTCACCTGGCTGGGAAGCCATTTAGTTAAACAGACATTCACTTGAAGGGTTTCAAAGATATTCCAGCTGCTCGACTGCAGGAGGCGGCATTTATGAAGAATTGTGTTGCTGATCGGGGAGAAGTTTTTTTTTTTTTTTTTTTTTTTTTTTTTTTTTTTTTTTTTTTCTCTCGTGATTTTCCGATCAGCAAACACACGTGCACAGATCCAAAACTGAAGGGGCAGATAAGAGTTGATATTGGTTTAAAGGTTCATCTGTTTTCCCAAATCGGGCAGTCGGCACTATGCAAGCACGGGCGATGCGTCCTCACACACAAACTATACTTATGTTTGTACTCTGATAGTAGCAACTGTGTGAACAGTGTACTGTGTATCTCAGATCTTCCAGAACACCATCTACTGTATGTTTGTGATTCATTTTGCCCTTTTCTAATTCTGGAGTCCCCCCTCCCCCCGGCCCAAGAGGGAAATCCAGATCAGTGTCTTATCAGGACAAGTCTGCAGGATGTGACTCTTGTTGGTTGTAGATGAAGCTTAACAGGTTTACAGTCGGAGACCAGTCAGCAGAATGGGGAGACCTGAATGACCCAACTGCACATTGACCCCCCCCCCCCCGTTTGCATGTTGGTCTTGTCTTTCACATGTATTTCTTTTTTAAAAAGCTTTAAGAAGAAAAAGATAATTAGCCACTCAAGTTTGGTTTTCGTCAGTACATTCTTAGAAACGTTGGGTTTTGTGCCAGTAAAAGATCCGGTCTTGTTTGGTTAGTTATTATTTGAACTGTTTTGTCCCCAGAGCTTCCTGTGTGTTCGTGAAGGATCTGTCTTCTACTAAAGCCTTACTTCCCCACTGGTGTTCAGGTGTCCACGGTGGCTGACTGACCTCTCTTCCTTGTTGTATCAAGGGTCGCCTTCTTTTTTTCTTCTTTTTTTTTCTGCTGTTGAGGATGATGATATTTTTTGTGTGTGTGAGTGTGCGCGTGGGCGGGCGGGCGGGCGTTTTTTTCCAGACCTGGAACTTAATACCATTTAAAACCCTTTTATGTTTGCTAGCACAATAGCTCCCAATTCACCTTAAACCCAAACGGTAATCCAGGCAGGCAGGAGCAATCGCAAAGTCTGTGATGGGATTTTGAATGCTATATGCTCCCAGATCTGTGTTGTATATTGTATATGATACACACTTTTGGACTCATATGTACATTTGCATTAATTGCTGACTAACAGCGAAAGAATATTCTATTTAATTTCTTCTCTCTTGGCTGTGGGATCCTAGATGTTTAACTGCATGGATGTACTGTATCTCTGCAGAGTCAACTAGCAGCTGTGTGATTTTTACACAAAAATAAAAAACGGCACAATATTTTAAACGCTGCTCTCTTTGCCGTCTTTTAACGGTTTGTTAAAAAGCCCCCTTTTTTTTCCACTCTGCTTCTTTTATGAGCAGTAAGGTACCACATGACAACACAACTTTCTGCCACGGTTAGAGCACTTTGGGATATTTTACATGAGATTTATTTTTGTGCTGTTTGCGTTTTTTTTAAAGTGGACCAGGCTAAGTAAAAAAACAAACTATTTTAATCAACAGTTGCTTATTTTCTGACAGCTGCACAGTCCTGATGAAGCAGAGCTGAGTTTAAATCTTTTTTTAGTTGGCTTTATGTGAAATCTTTTAATAGCTCCAGTAGCAATTAATAGGACATAAAAATACATAATTACAGAATAAATAATTGTGAAATAGCTCAAATTTAAACACCAGAGAAATCTCAAGGACAATCAAACCAAACAGGAAGCAGCTGAGCTGAGAGGTAAGAGTGCAGTTTTATGAGTTTTTGCCATCTTTGCAAACAGAATGTTTTGCTATAAAGTGGAGTAATGTCTACCTGAGCAGAGAATGAAGTCGCTCTCCCTCTGTGTTCTAATAGAGCTCTGCTTTGTTTAGCGTGCTCAGTGCATGTTAGTGCATGTGAACGTGCCCCACTGGCTCATGGGTGGTGCATCGTGGATATTTAAAAAGATATCTGCACTGCTCTCAGGTGGTTAGTTATAGCTAATGGCGTCGCTAGTGTAGCGCCCACCGTCCAGTTCCCCCTCAGGTTAACAGGTTAGCACTGTTAGCTCTGTCAGCACTGTTTGCTATGAGAGCCCTGAGCCAATAGACATGCTCTTATTTTTGCATTTAGCATTTTAAGAGACCTCCTGGGCTCCCTTAATCTTGAAAGTTTTTCTAAGTCATAAGAACTTTGTCCTGGCCACCATGCACTCTCTGTATTAACATATTTTGGTTCCATACATGAGAAAAGCTTTTGATTCCTAAATGCATAAATCAACGTTGTGAAAAAACAACTTTAAAAAGAAACACAAAGAAGCTGAATAGGTTGAGCAGGTTTTATTAGATCTCCATTCGTTCATTATAGACTGTTGTACAGAGGGGCAAAAAGCAATCCTAAACATAATCAACTCCTGTTCCCCAACTTAAATCTCTCCAATCAATGAATTTAACTCCAGGAAACCAAGCACTTCCACCAACTCAGATAACAGCTACATAGAGATCTATAGAAGGGTAGATCAGGTCTTTCTAGTCACGGAAACGGATTCAATTCTCTTGCTCTATACTTTAGTTTTCTATAAATCTTTGCAACAAACCAAATATTAGTTTTTTTTAACTGTGGTGAAGGAAATCTCAGTTTAATCTTTATGCTTTAGAAAGGCTGAATGCAGAGAAAAACAACCTTCCAGACTCAATTACATACGTTTTGAATTTATACAGAAACAAGCAGAAGTCATTGAAGTTCTATGGCCCCTTTTTGCAAAGGCCAGCTCACATATGTTTTAAGGCCTTCATGTTGAAGGTACTATAGACATGAGTAGGCCTGCTATCTACATCTACTGGATATCTTCTCTTACAGCAGGACAAAGAGCTCTAATGTAACAATGCAAATATTTGAGGTTAAACTGAGTTGTTTGCAAAAGCAGGACTTGAAGAGGATTTACAACAGATCCGGTGGGTTGTCTTCAGGTTGTATTTCTTCTCAGGTGTGTTTTGATGAGTCCAGAACATTCACTTGTCAGCACACAGCACAGGTTGGGACTTTATTTGACCACACTGGAAAAAGAGAGAAAGAGATCGTCCGTGATTACTTAATATCCTATCACCTTTAGAAAGTTGATTTTCAGACAAACTGAAGTCACAGAGGACTTCGAGTAGGATTTGTAGGTTGCGTTACTAAATAACCACATGACAGCAGCTCTACTCTGTTACTTTGGTCCACTGCCATTACTGTTCTCTAGAAAATGAGAAATTCTAGCAGCTCTGAAGCTCAATCGTAGGTGAACTTGAGGACATGTGGCAGTTCAATACGGAGAAACATAATCAAGTAACAAGAAAAGATACGAATGGTTTGAGAAATAGTTTGAGCTTTTTGAAAAATAAACACAGGTTAGGTGTTCCTCGACACTCACACGCTGGCTTCCTTGTAGCGGTCCAGAGCCTGCTGGGCCACCACCTCAGAGAACTTGGGGTCGGTCCAGGGGATGTCTCTCGGCACGCTGAATTTCACGGGTGGAGAGTCGAAGAGCTGCACAGACACATCTGTTTCTCCGGACTGATTTTTCTCATCAGTGTCTGTGCTGTTCACCTGCAGTACAGGGACGGTTTCAGTTCATCTGTTAGTGTCACTGCACATCTTAAACAGCCTCAACAGACATGCATTTCCAATACTGATATACTGCAAACTGTTCGTATGCTGATATAGTGGCTTTTACTGCTGCAACTTTGTTTATTTGGTATTTTTAGAGTTGCATTATTGTTGTAACGCCGACAACAATAAATAAGTACATTATTAATAGTATTAAATCCAACTTGCAAGGTGGTCGTCATGCTAAAAGTATGTAAGTGTAAGGATTTACTGTCCCCCAAAAGAAACAATTGTCATGCATTAAAGGTATTGCTGACAAAAAAACAATTTCAAACAATTAAAATAACCAAATAATTCATAAAAACATGTAAATTGTTAGGAATTAGTGTTCTTTTCTGATTTAGGAAAAGCTCCATCAGTGACTACACAACTAACATGAAGTAACATGTGATAATACCATCTGAACCCGGAAGACGTCGTCCTTGGCGTTGGTGTTGTTTGCCAGAGACGACACCCAGCCGAACTCCCTGTTGAGTTGATCCAGGATTGAGGAGGTGTTGAACATCTGCTCCTTGAACGTCTTCAGGAGGCTGTTGTACTGCTGAGTGAAGCGCTCGGCCATGGCCAACGCCTCCTCCAGGTCCTCCTTCAGAGGGCCCTCCAGAGGTTTCGTCCCGGAGCAGTCTGTGAATGAAACATCATCATTATGAGCTCGAGTAAAGTAAGAAAAGTCACTTTACTTACAACACTGGGATTACATTAATTAGAAGAGGACACGTTTGTTTCATAGCGTAATTTTTTTATATTGTTTGGCATTTTGATCCCAGATTAAATCACGTCTGACCAAGGACTTTCACTGTGGTGTATTTAAATATTTAAACAACAGTGGCCAAAAAGGTTATTGTTGTTTAAACATTTTAAATAATCCTTTGAAGCCCTTCCTGTTTCCAAAGATTATCATAAATCCTGATTGTGTTGCTCTAATAAAAGCATCTCTGTATCATTATTCAGGTCTGAAGGAGGAGTCTGCATGAAAGGACACAGCTGGACCTCACTGCCCCCACTTGGAAGGTTATTATTAGTTTTAATACATTTTGCACTACTCGTTCATTCATTGAGGATGTTATTCATATTTTATTCTAATTCAACATGTTTGTCCTCAGTATTGCGCGTTATTTGTTTTGTTTGGCAGCCCATATGTTACACATCTTGTATCAATGTTAATCGGACTAATATTGATCATAGAACATAGAAGAAAGAATAAAACACTTCATCAGAGTGTTGTGTTACCAATATGCTGGATCTCTTTGCATTTCTGACACTCGTCGCGGAACTTGAGGCAGCCGGCTGAGTTGCGGCGAATCTCTCTGCAGGTCATCCTGCCGTTGCCAAAAGGTTTGGTGACGACCACGTCCTCGTTCACGCTGCCGTCTGCGACCAAACACACGTTTGTTTGTTTTTTCAAAATGTGCAGTTGTATCACAGAGTGTCAAGAGACAATTAAAACCTTCAAATCCTACGAAAGCTTTCTGAAAGTAAACAGGGCGTCAGAATATGTCAGAAAATGTACCTTCGTTAGGAGCTGTGTCTGAGTCCATGTCCATCATGGAGCCCATAGAGCTGAAGAAGTTCCTACCCATGCCCATCATGGGGGAGAACAAATTCTGGAAGCCGTGGAACCGATCTTGGAAGAGAGAGCGAATGCTTCTTCTCGGTCCCAGGAAATTGGGAAAAAAGAAGACCGGAGGGTTGTAGTGCACATGGTCAGCCACCTGAGACACAAGAACAACACAGAAGCCTGTTAACTCTTTGTTCTGCTGTTAGTGTGCTGTTGTATCCATATCACTTTTGTTGATGCATGATTCAAGATCCATAATCAGGAGTCAGCAGAACGAGCTGTAAACACAAAATTCCCTTTACTATAAACTATGAAGTTGGTTTGGTTTTATTATCAGATGTCTGATTCTTTCCGAATTTCTTTTACTGCTGCCATCTTTTATTATGTGCTGGTTGTCTCCATTTAAAGGGCCAGCGTGGAGGATTTAGTGACATCTAGTTGTGAGGGTGATGTTGCAGATTGCAACCAACTGAATACCCCTCTGCTCGCCCCTCCTTCACCAAGTGTGACGGAGAACTGCGTTGGCCTTCAGGTATCCCTCTCTAGAGCCAGTGTTTGGTTCGTCCGTTCTCGGCTACTGTAGAAACATGGCGGAGTCAGTGAAGAGGACTTGCCCTGATTCTTAGTTTCAGGTAATTATACACTAAAGGAAATATAGTAACGAGTACTTTATTCCATTTCTGCCAATAGATTACGCTAAATCCTACATATCCGTGTCCAGTGTTTACATCCATCGGTCTAACAAGTAAACGGTACCTTCATACTGTCTGAAAATATGCTGTCCACACCATCGGCCATCTCTGTGTATTTCTCTTCCAGGTTCTTGAGCTCTTTGCTCTGACGCTGCCCCTCCTGCTCCAGGACGTCGATGTTCTCCCCGTTGATCCAGATGGAGAAGGGAGACGTCCTGTTTAGCACCTCCTCCAGCTGCAAACAAAAGGAGAACTTTTGATTTTGAATCTAAAATCTTAAATATCTTTATCCAAAATATTTGCTATTGCTTGACAAGAAAAGCCACTGAAATTATTATTTGAATCCAAAGATATCACTCATAAGCAACATGTTTGTGCACACTTGATCCAAAAGAAAGGTTGCATTACAGTCACTTTAGTTTAAGGGCTTCAACAACCAGCAGTATTGATGTTTTCTCAAAGCAATTTAATTAATCAATGAAACTGCATTACATCCCTTATAAAGGGAGGCATTGACCAGCTAATATCTGGATCATAATCAAAGCCCTGTATGTATAATCTAGGATGAGCACATGTGTGTGTACATGCGATTGTCTGACCTGGCGTCCCACCAGTCCAGATCCACTGCTGCATGTTCGGGAGTAGTATTTTACGCAGGTGTTCTTCAGACAGGGCTTACACTCCTCCCACAGAGCCCTCATGGTCTCGTTACAAACCTCCTGCTCCTGCTCCAGCTTGGCCTCCATCTCCTGAGCCGTAAGTATTGCTTCCTGTCGTGAAACAGAAACAAAACATTCAAGAGGTAAGCTCTTATTTTGGTAGGATCTTTAGAACTCATTGCCAGTTGTTATCGTAGCATCTGGTGTCAGTTTAGATTTGGTAAGTTAGAACAAAGTGATTGTAATATAATGAAATATATATGTTTCTACATCTTTCTGCTCCTTGGTTTTCTCCAAAGCGTCCAAAAACTTCTGGTGGTCCTCTGAAGATTTCTGCATCACGCTCTTCATCTCCTTCACTCCGTTAACAGCGGTGACAATCTGTTTATCCAGATACTTTTCTCCCTGGAGTGAGATCTCTGCAAAAAGCAAACACGACATATTTACTGCAGGTGTCGATTCACAGACTCCTGAATGTCTGCCCTCTACGAACAAACTGATTATGTAATGATAAAATATACGCAGGATATTTTTGTTTAATGCTTTTTTTGTTTTTCTTTATTTATATGTAGTATTATGTATAAGAAAATGCCCTTTTTCTTCTTTCTGCACCCCGTGATACAGCCACATCCCCTTATTTTCACTGTAGGCATTTTCACACAAATATAAATATTTTTCTTTCATTTCAGAAAATCTTTAGTAGTTTTCAAAAGGTTGAGTTTGTTTAAAAAAGACCAGTTCACCGAAATTACAATTAATTTTCTTAATACATGTTCCTTCTCTTGATCGTGATATGTAGCCATTCGTATACTGTGACTTTAGTTTTAGCTGTGCAGCCTTTCAGTTATTTGTTTCTGTTATTTCTGCTGCAGCCACAATATCATGTCTACTTACGGTTAAGATCATCTGTTGATGGAGGAAGGATACAGTTGACTGAGGCCAGAAGAAGAGCCACCACAGCCAGAGACTTGGATCCCTTCTTCTTCTTCATCATCATCATCATCATTAACATCCTCTCTGACTCTCACGGGGCCAGCAGGCAATGATGAGAAGAAAAAAAAACCTGGGAATAAAACATGAACATCCAGGTTCAGGTTAAACATCTGGCTTTGGTGTAATGTTGTTGTAATGCCCCTCCATCTCCTCTAGAGGGAGACAAGCTGCAAAGAAACCAGTGACCTACGCAGTAGAAAATAACTGTCGTTGATCAGCAGTTTTCCGCTCCTACTCAGCACAACATAAAAATAACAGCACTGATCAATACCGATTAATAATTCAGACTCATGCCTGCTGACTCATTTACCTCCTCTCCTGTTTCATGTGCTTAAACAATTAAAAATGACATTGTCACCAAACTGACCTCAGATCATGTGTTGCCTGTGACTTTGACTCACTATGCATTATATAAAGCGAACATCTGGCCCTTTCTCTGTTTATTTTCTCTATGACGTGTGCTCAGTCAGCTGCCTGTATATTCAACAGAGACTGAGTGTAGCTCCTGATTTTTTCCAAATTCCCATACACACACACACACACACACACACACACACACACACACACACACACAAAAGACAGAGAGAGAGTCATCAGACGGATGAACTGGCCTTCTCTCCTCTCTGTGCAGCTTTTCCCAGGCAGTATACATCTCTTTCCGTGAGCCTCCATCCTATTGATTATCTCTGCAGCCGAACATAATCCTCCTTTTTCCCTCTACATACACAGCGCAGCGATCTAAATGCACCAATCTAATGACATCATTTTAAAGTGCCAGAGGAAGTTTGCCAGCTATGACAAGCAGAATGGGGAAAGTGAATAAGTAATGATTAGCGTACATTGTGGACAACACTAATATGCTGCTGTAACAGCAAACCTGTAACTCTTCTGGTTACAGGTTTTCCACAATATTTATGAAACCTGGCTGCAAGGGTTGTTTTCCCATTCAGTGGTCCAACACTGATGTTAGCTGAGCTGTCGGGCGTTCCAGTTAGATGGTGTTGAGGTCAGTCAAGGTCTTCTCAAAAAAGCATTTCTTTACTTGCTTTCTCTAGCGGCGCACAAACTGACCATAACTGATTCATTTAGCCACTTGGGACGCAGCAGAAACACGCTCTGAATGCAACACTGTCATTGTATCAAGATTAAGTTATGGTGAACAGTAGCTTCTTTACACACCCGACAGACACGGAGCAACATTATCATTCATTTGGAGTTGTGTTTCTGGCCGAATGTCTTCTAGCTCGGTTTTTGGTCTCCACCAACCCTTAAGAGAAACCTCTGTTTCTTTAGCTGCTAAATGCTCCACTATGTTCACCAGCTAGTCGCTAACTATGACTGTCGTTTGTTGCTGGACAAATAGTGTACAGTGGGTTTATCAGAGCTCTGAGACTGAACCAAAACAGTAAACTTATGGCAAAGCTATAAAAAACTATTAAAAATAATGAGCTGAGCGACGCTAAAACACTGTAGAGCTGAAGGAGAACTGCAGTCAGGTGATAATTCTCTTTGGTTTCATCACTGTAAGTCAATTAATCAGCTGTTAATGTAAAATATATATATATATACGTATATTATAGCAGCTTTTAAGTACACGTGGACATAAGTGTCCACATACGTTTGATGTGTAAGCTAAGTTGTGGTAGGTCATTATATTATCCAAACTAAGAGAGATATTGACCCATATGGAATAAAACCTCTTGACATACATTTCCCCCACTCTTTTCATCTTATTCCACACCGTCCAACAGTATCACATACAGTATGTTCAGGATCGTCTTCTTCTAACTTTCCATTGACGCTCTAATATGTTAACACGCGTTTTTATGGCTGCGCACATGGACGGATTATGAAACAATGGGCCTCTGGTCACGGTCATGCAAAAGACCTCTTCAACATAGGAGCAAGACACACCAACTTTATAGTTGTTTAGCTTCTTTTTTAGTGGTTTCTTTATCTTAGTCACATTTCTCTGTGGTTTGTGTCTCTTTATGGTCATTTCGTGTCTCTTTGTAATCGTTATGCATCTCTCTCTGGTTTTGTGTCACTTTGTGATTGGTCTTTTTGTAGATACTTTTGTCCCTTTTCTGTAATCATTTTGCATCTCTTTGTGGTCATTTTGTGTCTCTTTGCAGCCATTTTGAGTCTCCTTATAGTTGTTTTGCATCACTTTCTGGTTGTATTGAGTCTCTTTGTGTTCTCTTTGTGCTTCTTTGCAGCTGTTTTGCATTTGTTTGTAGTCATTTTATGTTTCTTTTAGGGCCTTTTGAGTCTCCACCTGGTTGGCACGTGTCTCTTTGAGCAACATTTTGTAGGTAAAGGCCAGGGGGGCCCCCTGACACTTTTGGGTATATTAGGAAACGTCTGGATCCCTTATAAATCCTTTAAAATTGTGGATTCAAAAAAAGTATTTTCTAACGTTTCAGATAAATTTCTCGGCAATTATTATAGGTATTATAAGGAAGATTAAGTCAATGTGCTGATGGTATAACCTCTCTGAATCTCTGTGCTTTTAATCTGCAGTGAAAAACAGGAAAAAAAAGGACTGAATGCCCACCTGGGAGCTAAAAAACCTGTCCCACTTTCTCCTCTTTAGCTCATGTGTTCACGAGTTTAACACAAACAGTGCAGCAAACTGCAGCCGCTTACACAATGAGGTCACTATTCATGTGACAATAAGCCTCTCACTTTAATTACAGCATGCCAGTTACTGGAAGGTTTGTAAACAACAGGGGCAGACTGTGACCAGTGAGACCCTCAAAGACAGAATGAGTAAGACTTGAGGTGCAGATGGAGGAAAGAATGAGCAATGTATAAAACAAACAAACAGACAGAGCCAGAGAGAGTCAAACAAACAGAGAAAGGTTGACAGAGAGATAACAAAGGAGAAATAATTGACATTGCAGATGTCTAGCTGGATTGTTGTACATCCTGGTTCCACGACTGAAAGAATGCCAGCTGACCAACCTTGCAGATGTTGCCTCCGGGGCCGTCTAGAAAGTTCGGTTCCAGCTTCATGAAGTCAATAAAACATCCGACGCTTTGTCAGAGTCCATATCTAAAACTAGTTTATCCTACATTGCATAGCAATACATATATCACTTTATAATAATACTATATTAATATTAAATGGAAGTTATATAAAACACAACTTTAATATGAACTGAAAGGTTTTGTGGATTAATTGCTTAAAAGCAAGGATTTTGCTCAATCTATTTATCATTTACGTAATTCCTAACTTCAGTGTTTACTTACTGTGCTGCTGTGACACATGGATTCAGTAAAGTTTCATGATATCTTATCTTTTTGAGCTGCCATGTGTTAAATATCTGTAACGTTTATACATCAGCTGATAACTGCAGCTGGTGCTTGTTTTCACTATCGATTAATTCCCCTTCTGTTTCTGTCTCAAAACTACACACACACACACACACACACACACACACACACACACACACACACA